TATATATATATACACACACACACACACACACACACACACACACACATATATATATATATATATATTATATATATATATAGTAATGATTAATATAAACTTAAACTGAAAGAGTTTAATATATTCAAAGATTAGCAGAAGTAGAATGCTTACCTGTGCTGCATCACCTAGTACTGTTGCACCAACCATTCCCGCGACAGCTACTAGAACGGCCGTAGTGGCGACCAGAAGTCTCGTATTATGAGGTCCCTGGCTTACTTTAGCGTGGGCGTATCTATGAGTTGTGTTGGTTGCCATGGTGACATAGTTCTTAATACCACCTTGTGTACTATATTCAGTGCGGTAGCGCAAGGTGGCTGCGCGCGTGCCTGCTATAGATGCCTGTGCGGTGTGCATAGGCCGAGCGCTGATACTTTTGGTGAATAGACGAGCTTTCTGCATGCTTATCGGCTGCATATGAGGAGGGGTTCCTTCTCGTACGCACGCGTGCGATAAGTACGACAAAGCTCTCAACATAGTGGAAGGTACGAAATACAGACTTCAATGCAAACTTGGTATATTTTTTTTTTGATTTTAACCAAGCTAATAAATGAAACAAAGATGGAGTTTGTAGCAGGCGTTGTGACGTGTTTATGTGCTGCTTGCTGTATATCTGACACAATGGCAGTCCATGCACACATGAATCCACATTAGAATATAGAGTATATTCAAATGCACGTATACATTTATAAAGTTGTACAATTGTAAGTATTTACACGAGTTTGACGACAGGACTTCGACAACGTTCACTGTACGTAGTGTAGCTGTGTATGTCGCCTCCTCTGAATAAAATTGCCTTTTGAGTATTTTTAAAGTTCGAATTTCTGATTATGTACGTTTTTTTCTCTCCAATGTTTTCAAGATCAAAAGCCAAAAAAGGTATGTGTAGCATATAAGCATTTTTTTGGGGGGGCCAAGTAATTTTTTTTTTGAAAAGTAATGGCCAGTGCTCTCTCCGAAAGAAATTCGGTATCGTACAGTATGTACTGCACGAGTGCACGTATGTGAATATAAATATACACTTTACAGCACGTATAGTGATATTCAGGGACTGTGTACACTATACAGTATGTAAATACAAGATTGTGGGGTTGTGAGAGTGTGGTAGTGTAAGCTGTGCTTTGTAAACTATACTCAAAGGTCCCTTATTAAAAGCAAACATAATCACATGGTTCAGTATGTGATTCGTGATTGAGGCCCGTCATTCAACCGTTGTGCGACATCAGAGGAGGCTGGGCATAGAATTGCTACTCAAAAAGATATTGTTGATAGTATTGCTACTCAAAAGAAACTGTTACAATACATCCATGCTTCTATCATCGTTGGTTTATGTGTTGTATAGGTATTCCCATAAGCTCTGTTAAAGGGATGGCCATCCAGACATATTGTGACGCCGCAAGAGGCAGTGTACAATATTCATAGAAGTGCCATTCGAGATTAAGTTCACGAGCTCAATGCATCATGCATTGTTTACCGTTCATACAACTTCACTGATATATGATAGGAGCTGAAGTCGCCCAACGTCTTCCCAATGCGGTTGCATACTGTTGAATTGATTGGCCTCGGTAGTTGATCTGATCCGCTTGCAACCTTTTCTTCAACTCAGGGATTTGTACACATAATAATTAATGCCTACTTAAAGCGAATGATATATTTATGTTCGGTTTGAGGGCTACCTATGATATGTATTTCATAATACGAGTTATACAGGGGAGGAACTGTGAGAACCCTAAAACCTAAAGCCTTCACATCACATATTAGGCAAGTGATACAAGCTTGGAAACCCAAAAACCCGTCGATCGCGCACGATGCGTATGATTGTTTTTATTATTTATTATAAAAAACAATATATTTATGACGATACGCTATGTACATATTGCTAATATTTGTACATATTGTATATATTAGAGACGCATCCTGTCTTAGGTACCAGGAGTATTATACACATCACATTCGTATCATTTGTATAATCTTCACATCACATTCGTATCATTTGTATAATCTTCACATCACATTCGTATCATTTGTATAATCTTCACATCACATTCGTATCATTTGTATAATCTTCACCTCGCAAAGAATGTCTAATAATCATGCATTTGAACTAGTCAATGAGGCTGTGGCACCCTATGACGTGCCGGTTAAAATCTATCAGTCCAAAGTCACGGGACTTCGTATTGCACTGGTGAACGTCGGGTCCATCTCGAACGGCGTTGTGAACGGATTCTTCACCTTGGCAACGGAAGCTGACTGTGACGATGGGTGTCCCCATACTCTGGAGCATTTGATCTTCTTGGGTATGGAAAGGAGATGATGGCTTTGTTATAATGTCTACTTGCGGGAACTAGAGGCGCGCGTTACTGTGTGGTTGACGTATATATGTTGTTTTTAATTTCGATACTTCACGTGATCGATTGAATGAATATGCATGATCGATGTTATATATGATATGCATATAGATATCGATAACCACAGACAGGTACACACACACACACACTCCCACTCCCACACACACAGACATACACAGACACACACAGACACACAGACAAACACACACACACAGACACACACACACACACACACACACACA